TATATAATTGTTTTGACGGATTATTTTTTTTTTTTGCAATAAAAAAAATAAATTTACCAACAAAAAAGTATTTAAAGCCTTTAAACCGTAAACTTGAACTATACATTTTTAGTGCAAATTTGTCGAGTGTTTGACCAAAGCTTCGTTTTCCGGATTTTCGTCTCTGTGCTTCTGAAGGTTACCGGACAGCGTGTGGTCGGGCCTTCGTCTCTTGAAAAAGCCGATTTTCCACAAAATTAAGGTAAGCAAAATGAGCAGCAGTAGACCAGCTACCACAGCCACGATTATAATCCAAATAGGCACTGGTTCGGGTTCTTGTTGATCCAATAGATCTGGCTCCGCAATCGTTATGGCCTGGAATTCAAAACACAAGTTGGAAAAGAAAAAAAACAAATTTATTCTACGTGTAAATAAAACGAGAGTCTACGTATTATATGAATTACAAACCTCTGCAGAATCATCAGTCAAATTGTTTTGTTGTATAACAACGTTAGGCGGTATGATAATTTTGGCACTTGATGCTATATTTACTCTATCGACTTTTGGATAATCTTCAGCCAAAGTCGAGTTCCACAGTCTGAGGAATGATTGTTTATGATTAAAAAAAATTTTTTTTAAATATGCACACACAATAAGACTATATTGTCCGTTGATTGAGGCATACCTTGCTTTAATAATAATCGTTGCTTCCTCCTTCTTCTGCAGGTTTACAATGGAACACGTAATCTCGAAGCATTTCGCGGTACCTGCTTTACAGTTCTAAAAAAAAAAGAAAAAACATAAAAATTATTCCCACTCTTTTTTTTTTTTTAAATGCCCAGCGCAGCTTGTTAAACAACAAAAATGAATACACACCATTGTGACAACGTGGCGTCGATGCCCATCCTTGTCGACGACAATCCTCGTCGTGACGACTTTTTCGGTGTCCCGTTTTCTCCGAGCATGGCTCGTATCGTTGAGATCGACGAGTGGCCTTGGCTTTTGGGTCGAAAAGAGCGGATCTATGTCCTCCAAGCCAAAACTACCCTGTAAATTCAACGGGTTCACCCGACCCGCTGGCACGCGGCACTCGCCAATCCGTTCCCCTCCTGGAGCTGAATCACCGTAAAATTCATCAGCGCTACATTTACTTATACATACATATATTAATATGTATACACACACATATATATATATATATATGTACCTCGAACGATCGGCGTGTCCTCCAAGTACAGCAGCCACTTGCCGTGGGCCTTGTCGTTCGCGACTTCGAAGGGCCACGATATAACAACGTCCAGCGCGCTGACTTTCCAGGGCCCGTCGTTAAACACTTGATAAACGTGGGCAACCTTGGGCCCGACGTCGTTGAGCTTCGTAACGGCCGATTCGCCGAGAACCGGTCCGCCGTAAAGTGCCCACTGCGTCTTGGCACTCCTACGCAATGGGGAGGGGGGAGGAAGATGCGAAAAAATAAATGTTAAAAGATAAATGTATACAAACAATGTATTTGTATATAAAACGCAACTGACCCTTTGACAGATAGTTCGGCTCGTTTGAGGACGGTGGCTTGTAGGCGGGTCGGTTTCTTGGCGCTCACCTCCTTCGAGGTCGAATTGACGAAAGCGATGAACCCGATTTTGACTTCACTGTCCTCGAGATACTTGGGATCGAATCTCACTTGCACGCTGAGGGACTTGTTCTTCTTGAAGGGATTGCCGATCGCGCAGGATATGACGGTGGTGTTGTGCAAACTGCAGGTAGCTGAATCGTTTTGCTTGGTACCGATGTAACTGAGACTCGGCGAGTGCACGAGGAACAATTGGGCCTCGTACGCGGATTCGCCCACGTTGGTCACGTTCACGTCCACCACGAGCTCCTCGCTCTCACCCAACAGCAACTCGTAGTAATTCTTTTGCGTCGGCGAGGCTGCAATTTACCAAAGCCAGTCAGTCATACCTATATCCATCTCTCCCGAGCCAATACTATCGCTTTTCTATCGCGATCGCGTCTTTTTTCTTTTACTTTCAATGATTGGCGTTACGGTAAACGTTAAAGATGTATTATACGCACGCTGGAGGTTCAGCTTGGCCGAGAGCCTGAGGTCGCTCTCGCATATGTCGTTGTTGCCGCAATCCTTCTGGAAGGTGGCCTCGAAGACGCGCGCGGCCTCCTGCTGGTTCAAGATCGGGTAGTTGTTGATGTCGGGCAGGGGCGCGCCCTCCCTCGGCAATTTGGGCTCCTCTTGTATCAGCGTGTAGTTCAGCCGGAACTTGATCGGCGACTGAATGTCCCGCGTGTTGTCCTGACCGGGGACGCACGACAAAGTTGCAAAGGTTGCGAAAAATATTATATACACACGTATGGGTGCACGCATTTACCTTCAAATAGACCACCTCCTTCTGACAATAGATGAGATTCTTCGAGTCGAGGGTGGCGATGCGGCTGATGTAGTGCGGCCGGTTGTTCCCGCTGCCGAACCAGACGCGAGAAAACTTTTTCGTCCCCGCGTAAGTCTCCGCCTCGATGTACGAGGTCAGTCTCAACTGGCGCACGTGCTCCTCTTTGACGTACGAGGCAGTCTTGCAGCAAGCCTCGAACGAAAAGCTAAGCGGAGTTGTATTATATATTGGCGTGCGAATTAAAAGTACAAAGAAAGAAAAAAAGGATGCGAACCAGGTGTAGTTTGAGTTTGGGTTCTCGAGGCAGCCGAGCCTGTTGGGGTCGATGGGTTCCATTCTGTCGCTGCTAGAGCCGTCCTTCTGGGGAAACCGGACAAACGTCACGATGTCGATGATCCTCCTGGCCCGTAGCAGGGCAACCGCGTTCTCCTCGTAAGCTCCGACCAACAGATCGGGGTAGCCGTTCAGGTCCATGTCGATGCCACCGCTGAGCGAGTAGCCGAACGTCTTCAATGGCACCGGGGTACTCTCCGAATGTATCACCTACAGACGTATCATCGGTTAACCCGAGATTCACGGTAATTTACACACTTTATATTGTGTATTATACCTGCGACGGTGTGGTGATCAGTCCGTTCTTCGAGCCGAGGTATATGTACACGGTGCCCATGCCCTCGTAAGGAGCCCCAACGGCTATGTCTTCGAACCCGTCGTTGTTGATGTCCTTCAAATTCGTCAGCGCGAGACCGAACCTGTCGACAAGTAATATATACACTCTCTCATACTTGTAGGTACATCGTACACTCATTACTTTGGAAGCGAAAATCACGTACCTCGACTCCTCGCTACCGACCAACTTGGTGGGCTTGCACTTGTCGCTCTCCCGGGAACTTTTGCACAGCCTCGTGTAAACGTAAACCGCGCCGCCCTCCTTTTTCCCGTAGTAAAAGGGCGCGGCGACTATTAGGTCCGACAACCTATCCGAGGGGGAAAAAAAAAAGACAAAAAATCGAAATGAAAATCAACCAATTCCTATTCCGATGGAAAAGTCAAACAGAGGGACTCACTTGTCGCCGTTGACGTCGGCAGCCGCTATCTCGTAGCCGAAGCTCGAGGCAAATTGTTCGCCGTTGAGGCTCATCGTCACTTCCATTATGGGCTTTTGGAAGTGACGCGTGAACAGGACGACCTGGCCGGTGCCGTTGGACCGGGGAGCCCCAGCAGCGTAGGCCAATCCGTTGCCGAAAAAGTCCCCGACAGTCACCGACATGCCTTTTTTTTCATGCAAACGACAATTTTTTTATTGCTCTCCTACTTTTCTATCATACAATACATCGTTGATTTCAATAAAAATAAATAAACGGACCCTCTGATTCCCCATGGAGTGCACGAAAGAAAAAGAACCGCTGAAAGTCAAAAAGTCACGAATATTCATTATGATCTCTTTGGATGAGTTGATTGATTTCTTGGGTGAAAAAAAAAAAAAAAAAAAAAAAGAAACAAAGCTAATCCTCTCTTGTATGCACCCAGCACGCACAGCACGTGCGCATCAGCGGCGTGTGCACCTGATGCAACGACATCGAGCCGTAAAAGTGTCATCCCGTGCCGTGCACCGGCCAGCCGGTCGGACACACGTGCGGCTCATAATAACAAGCCTACGTATATGTATATATACCTTAATGGGTGCTGCACCGAACACACACACACACACACAAACTCACCTAAATAACTGTACTTGGATACGGGCGAGTCCTCCTGCATGGGGGAGCTGTAGACTACGGTGTCCTTGCCGATAAAGTCGTCCGAGACCGTTATGACGTAGAGGGTGCCGCGCCAAGTGTGCGGACCCGGGGTGCCGATCACCACGTAATCGTCCGTTGGTGTGAGCACTCCGCTGGTGCCCGCCTGACAGTACCCGAATTGCTCGTGTGCTCTGTGTGCCAGCGGTTTATTTGTTTATTAACGATTAAATAAAAAAACAAAAACCAATGTAATACGTGATACCGATCTTGGGCGTAAATATAAATGAGATATGAAGATTATTCGTACCTGATGGTCGGTTTGCCGGAGCAGGGCTTCTTTTGCTCGGAGAACTTGAGGTCTTGGGTCAATATGTAGCACATGCCCTGGCCCCACTGGGAGTCTTTGTTTTTGACGATGTTACGGTGAGCGCAGACCTTTGGTGTAATACATTATGTCTTGTATTTTATTGTATACCACATATTTACACTTTGGAAAGGTCATATTGTACAGGTTTACTACTGAGCTATTGTCTGTGTGTTTTTAGTGCAGGTGATTCGAAAATTATACAGCTATAGGTGTGGGAATATATTTAAAGTGGCTGGATGTTCGAGCTCTCGGGTGTATATTTGAGGAATCGTACACAAGTGCTTTTACCGATCACCGTATACTATGTGAGAAAAACATGAAAACCCCAAGTGTTTTTCCTTTTGTTTATCTCGACGATATTTCATGAAGTATATTGTTCGTGCGGTATAGCAATTGACAATGTCGAGGTGGTGTTGCGAACAGCACATGTTCCGAACCCAAACTGCCAGTTATATACGAAAATCCAGGCTTTATACCAACCGATTTATTACCGATCGGTGTCCGCGAAAACAAATTCTTGCGCATCCAATAACCCTTGGTCGACAAAATACCAGAATTATGCATCTAATATAATACACACGCACAATCTCGCACGAGATCGTTTCAACCGAGAACCCTTTCACCGCGCGCGCTCTCCCTCTCTCAAGAACGAACCGATCAATTAACATAAGAATCGCCGAGAGCCGCAATCAGCCCTCGACTCTCAACAAATTATCCAACTCCGTACAAGGAGTCCCCCCTCCGATCCTCTTCTTTCGAACACGGAAAAAATACCTCCTCCTCCTCACCCCAGGGCCTTGCGTACCGATTCGTGTATACCTACTTATTATATGCATGCATCAGGTATACCTTATACATACTACACTCTCTCAGCTTTCAACGTTTGTGTACACGTGTGTGAGTGCATACGTATGTATGCTCAAAAGAATTAAGCGCCTTCCGGCCGATCCTCCTCCTCCTCCTCCCCCTTGAGAGCGAGTCCACTTACAATGTATGTATATGTGTGTGTGCACGCACTATAAATGCAGTAGCTGCAGTGCAGCAAGCGTCGAGAGAGAAGGACAGTGATTTATACACACCCAGCTTCCCTAATGGTCCCCCCCCCCTGATTCCGTGCACGCGCGCGCGACTAACAGCATTTTTTCCGCTCGTCGAATTCCTTCGCGAATGTATGCAAATAATGGAGTGAATGTAAGCCGCACAGAAGAAGAAGGAAGGATGGATGGGAAAAGGAAAAAAAAATTAAAGGGATGCTGCCGATCGGTATAGGGCTTACCATGACTTTGCCGCCGACCCCGGCGCTGCGGACCGTCACGCCGAGCCACTGGCCATCCTTGATCTCGTCTTTGCCCGGCTCCATCAGCTGGTCCGACTCGACACCTGTTGGAAACATTTCGTGGCCACTGTACTTTACCGACTTATCGCGTATGCGGGACGCGCTGCTGCTGTTCGTACAAGCTTTTTTTTTCACTGTATGGCATCTCCATGTTTTTTTTTTTTTTTTTTTTTTTTTTACAATTACAAAAAAAACAGAGAGCACACCCACTTTGTCGTATATTAAACACGTACGAATAATAGAAACGAGTGACACAAACAGAGGGTGCACATCACTGAGAGGAAAAAAAAAAAAAACAATAAAATTTATAGAGACGTTCCAGCAAACGTTACCGTTCCCCACAGTGAATCGGATGCAAATTGGCAAAAAAGAGTAGAGTTATTATTTTTAACGGTAAAGATTGTTGTTTTAACAGTGAAAATTGTAGTTTGAATGGTAAATTAGGATCGGTTGATAAATTTTACTTTTCCGTGTAGAAATTTTTACTGTTCTGACCATAATTTTTACTTTTTTAATAATAATTGTAACTGTTAAAATAATAATCTTTACCGTTAAAAATAATAACTCTTTCCTTTGTTTCCAATTTGCATTCGATTTACACTGTGGAATGGCAATTTTTGCTAGAATTTTTCTGTAATTTTCATTATTTTTTTCTCTCAGTACACGAAAATATTGTTATTATTTTTGTTGTTGTTATTATGCATAGTAACAAAAAAAAACCACACACAGAAGATTGATAATAACGATGATACGTGGTGATGCGGATGTCACATGTATATACGTATAAATATACAAGCATCGTCGTCGCTTTCGATGGGCTGCATGCGGCGACGCATATAAATCGTGATTTTTTTTTTTTCAACTGTATATACGAAATCAGATATGTATCTCGGCGTTGGTTTTTCCTTCCTTCCTTCGAATAATCATGTGATTCTCAATGATTCGTCGTCAAGGTTTCAGGTTTTTTTTTCCTTTTTATTGTCAAGTCGTTTTTTAATTTTATTTCAAGTATCCACAAGAATACGGAAGTATAAGTATTAACAGTGTGTTTACGTTAAATTGGCAAAATTAATCGATTAATTGAATAATCGTGTTAAAAGAGCTACTACAATAATTATATATATTATTACAAGTACAATGTTACTATGCAACGAATGAATTAATTAACATTATTTTGCGTGAAAATCCGCGGGTCTAAAGCACCGATCATTAAGTAACAGAAACAGTTATAGTACTACGCAGCAGCCGTAAGCCCGTACTTGAGAAAAAAAAAAAAAGCTTTAATGGGTATTATAGACGCAAAACGTGACTTTCGCTTTGCCCTCCTATGTTATTATGTATATACATATATAAATCGGCAATTCGCACAAAAAAACTCGTCGCATGTATTTGGGCCCAAAGGCACGTTCTATCCCGCGCGCACGTCGCCAAATAGGAATAGTAAGTGGACCATCGTCGTCGTGCTTTGATTGATTTTTCGAACGACCGCGGCGAGCGTGGAAAATTTATGCGAATTGCCGATCGAGCCGTACTATTAATATATACGTTTAGTCATGCCAAGCAGGTCACTCGGTTTTTAGTGAAAATAATATGCAGATTTCATGGCGCATGTGTTTGTAACAAACTTTCAGCGAAGAACACACGTTTTCAAATACTTTTCCAAGCAGCCAATCGTATCGCTGGATACTGTACAACTTTGTTAGTCGCTCTGTTAGTCAAAACGAAAAATCCCAATCGGTTGTTATCATCAAGAGTGTACATTTAGCTTGTCGTAGTGACTATATTGCGCTTGTCAGTATAAACTTGCAGTTAAATTGTTGTTAATATATATAAAAGAAAAAAGCTGGGTATTATATTAATGACAACTTTATTCATACTTGTTAGGGCAAGCCTTCATTGGAACACACACACACACACAAGAGAGCGAAAAATTTCAGGGTAAAATTGTGTTACGTCAACGTGTGCAATTTCTCTTTTTCTCGCTCGCTAATTGTAACATTCGCAGAAGAGCGACAAGAAAGAGAAATGCGCGAAATTAGCCTTCCTCGGGGTTGGCCTTTTTTTTTTTTTTTTTTTTTTTTTTTGCTCACTTTGTGTGACTTTTTAATGCGCTCTCCGTTGGGCCAACACGCTCGCTTTCATGCCACACACAAGCCTTGTCAAGATTAGTATCGAGCTCAGCTCTCTGCGTATCATCATATGCATCACGTGCACGAGCGAAAAAAACATGTTAATACTGGGTGCTTGGTTTTTATTTTTTCATGGCTGGTATTAATTGTTGTGTGTGCGATATGGAGAAAATCGAGTTATTCGAAAGATAAAATGCGAAAAATGGTAACATTTACAAGAGTTAATTCAACAAAAAAAAAAAAAAAACAAAAAAAATAAATAAAAGACACGCTTGAGTGAGAGAGAAAAATAACTCTTCATTCGTGATATTATATGCCATTCGCAAGTATGAAAAAGAGATTTTTATTATTATTTTTTGTTTTGCAAAAGAACTCCGTTGGTTCACTTACTTGACTCGTACAGACTGCCCTCGGCTTCGTGGACAACCAAAACATAATATTAATTGCATAAGTTAATGTTTTTCTCGACTTTTTTTCTATATAGGCATGTAGTTATAAATATGAAAGAAAAGATACAAAGGATTAATGATACAATAAATATAAAGATATTCTTAGAGTATACATTATAAATATGTGATATTTATATGATTATATCAATGACGCCGCAACACTGCACTTGGTTGCAATTTTGATTGTCAATTAGTTTTGTTTGATTTTTTTAAATTTGTTTTCTTAGAAAGCCTGAGTTATGTATTTTGCACTACGTTATACATATGTAAATTACTTTCAAGTATCTACTATATGAACAAGCCACCACATAATTTTTAGTACATATTATTATTATTATTA